AGGGCCCCCCTGATCCTTGGGCTACCCCCCCATCAACTCTGGGCCCCCCTCATCCTTGGGCTCCCCCCCATTATCAACTCAGGGCCCCCCTCGCCCTTGGGCTCCCCCCACCCACCATCAACTCAGAGCCCCTCGCCCCCTTCACACGGGCGTTAACACCCGCCCAACGCGCTCCCGGGGCCCTCACCCATCGGCTCGTCGCTTCCTCCGCCGCCCCCGTCTCTCCCACGCGCTGAGGGGTCTGCAGGGACTCTCCCGCCGCTGCTCCTCGCCACCAGGCCTCGCCCCTCCCTCCCGCCGGCCCGCCCACAGCCGCCGCGGCGTCCGCCACCCGGAGCGGGGAGCGCGCAGCTCGGCGGAGCTGGGGAGGCCGCGGCGGGGTGGGGCTGGCGCGCTGCTTGGCCCTGCCCTGAGGGGAAGGGGGAGCGACACCCCCCACCTCGGCTGGCCCGGGGGTGGCCCAGCCCAGGCCGCTGCCCGTTTGGTGACAGCGGGAAGAGACGCTAGGGGGGTGCTGGGGGGGTGTATCCGAGTTCAGGGCCCCCGCCCCCCTTTAGCACCCGCCCCAGGCCCCCTCCCTACACAACCACCTGGGCCGAGCCAGCGGCAGTCTCCATTGCTCTTGCCTGGGGCGGTGACCTGACCTGAGCGGGGATCCCGGCTGCCTCGCCTTCCCCTGACACCAGCTTGGGTCCCCCCCCCGGCTCTGGGCCCCGGGTCCTTCCTGGGGGGGCAGGGAGGATGAAGGTAGCAAGCTGGGGTAGCCCTGCAGGGCTGTGGGGTTGTTGCCTTGGAGGGCACTAGCTGGCACAGGGTGGTCTTAGGTAATAGCAGGGAGCCTCTGAATGCTTGGGCCTGTTTCTGCCTCCACATACTGTGATGTTTAGCGTTAGATCAAACCAAACAGACAAGTGTTGGTACCATCAGATATTTCACCCCAAATCACTCTTGCTCTGTAAAATCTGAACATCAGAGGTTGACGTTTATTCAGCGCTAGACTTGTTTGATATGTACACAGCTCTTTGCATCTTCTGGCGGTACTGGTTAATGGTTGCTGGCCAGTTCCCCTGTGAATCAGCTGGTTTTGCCTCTCTTCTGCCTGCCTGCTCTGCAGCCACGTTGGGCCTTCTCTATACTAAATTTTGTCTCTTAAAATGCCCCACTATTGCTATCAGCGGTGAAGCTCCGCTGGCAGTATTAACAGTGGGCTTATTGATGTAAATTGTCTTCTGGTAGAGTCTGGTGCTTTAACCATTTACTACTCTGGTTAAAATGCTGGCAGATGGTCTTTGCTAGCTCCTCCACCATTGCAGAACTGCACTAGTGTTTGCAACAATGGGCAATTTTAAGAAAAAAAAATGTAGAAACAATCTTACAATTTGAAAAGTTCAGTAAATAGAGCAGGATGAGAGTGAGTCAGACTGCTGCCAGCCAAGCAGCATCTTCCCCATCCCTCCCTGCTAATGGTCCACTGATTTTTGGGAGAGAGAGAGGTCTGTAGGGAGCGGTGGCTCAAAGTAGACAGAAAGCAAAATATGCTTTCAGGAGAGTCAAAGAGATCTAGTGGAAGGTGCAAAAGTAGAAGAGTGAGATCAAGGGGGATGGGAAAAGGTAGAGGAAGCCAGAGGAGGAGGAAAAGAGAGAGGGGAGGACCTAGGGTAGACCTGGAAACAGACAAAGGAGAAGAAATAGTAAGAAAATAACAGCTTTTAGGTTCAGTGAATTTTATCTTATTTGTTCTTCCATTTCATTGTATTTGTCCAGCATATGCCCCACAGCCACATCAAAGGGATAGTGTTGCACTGGGGATTTGAAGGTGAACTGATAATTAACAAATGATTGTTAGTAAGTGGCATAGGATAACTAAGCACAGTTTCAATTAGAAAGTACAGTGTTTTTGTTTTCCTCTGGCCAACTCCTTTTCGAAAGGATACCCCAGCAGATACTGCGCTCAATCCCATAGGAGTCTGCAAGGGAGATCCTGTTGTATAATATTGCTTGGTTTTGTAATTTTGAAAGTGAATTTTTTACTTTATACCCTCTTGCATTTCCAGTGATAATAAAAATTTTGGAAATAGGTATGGAGAGATTTCTGTTATCCCTGTAAGCTCCATTGTGGTCCAGTTATGACTTTGAGGTCTCTTTGGGATGTCACCTAGAATGGAAGGCAGTGACACAAAGCGGGGCGGGGGAGAGGGCAGGTTTAAATAGCAAATATATGGCATGCCATTTTTGTTCTGTTTAACTGGGGTATTCAGCACGTATTTTACTATTATAGTTGACCATATGTATTATTTTAAGTTACATGCCTTAGACATGCATCAAAGTGGTTGCCCTGCTGCTCATTTTCATAGGGGAACTGAACAGCAAAAATAAAATTAACAAGATCTTCCTGAGCTAGTACATGGTGCTGAAAGTGGGGAGAGAGCGAAAATGATCTCCCCATATAAAGAGTTTAGAATTAGTCTAGTTCCTCCCTGCCTTATATAAAAAGGGAAATTAATAAAGGGGTAGTCAGTTTCCCTGTGCAGCCAGATCCAGTGTAAGAAGGCTAGGTACAGATGGAAACTAAATAATCCTAGTCAGGTTCACTATGCAAGATCTTTACACATGGAGCCTGGGCAAAGGAAGAGAAAAGGGATGAGGAAAAAGTGGCTAGTAGGAAAAATTAATGACTGTTTGCAAGCAGAATTAGAAGAGGGGGGAAAAAGCAGAAAAGAAGGAAATAAAGGAAAGGAGAGAAATCAGAGACAGAAAGAAAAGAGAGAATGGTGAGTTAAGGAAAAAGACCTGCTCCAGTGATGATAATGTGTCAGTATCACCTCTCCACACTTGCAACTGGAAGTTTCAAAGTAACTTTTAAAATTATGGGGACTCAAAGATGGAGAAGGAAAGCTGAAATTTTTCTAGAAGTCAGAAGAAAAATGGGCTACTCCTTCAATTATCCGAAGAAACTGTCACCCAGAAAGTCATCGAGGTTCCAGGCAGCAAAAGGTAAGACCAAAGCGACATTTTCCTGTGGACATTTGTGTTTGTGGATGCAGGCTTCTGAAATTAAATTAGTGTTGTGTGCTGTAAACAGTGATTTGGGAGGAATAGATTGTGCCCTCTTGCTTTTTTGATGTAAGTTGTTCAAGTAGTTTTGTGGCAGCTGCCTTCACTATAGACCTCCACTGAATAGCTAATGTTCTAGTGAAAATAACCCTAGTCTTAACCTCGCCACATAATTTTAACTGCTGAGGCTATTTATTATCCTTGCTACCATTTTCTGGGATTCTTACTGTTTTTCAGTATCCCTCCTACTGCAATATTTCTAATGTTCTCCACAGTATTCCATATAGGGTCATACAGTTCCTTTTTACAATGCTATAATGACAAGAGAAAATAAGCGACAAATTTAATGTAATTGTGATTATTTAGGATTTTTATTTTAAATGTTCTTTAATTTTATGTTATTTCAGTCTTATTAGATCTGTGTGATTAGTGCAAAGACCTGTTGAATCTGTATGCAATTGCAAGTATTGTTTTATTGCTTTTGCTGTTATTTCTGCTATTTTTCCACTGCAGTAACTGCTACAAATGTGAGGCCAAATTCCTCTCTCTGTTTTGTGAAAGAATATTTGGATTTACACGCATGTAACCTATAGCAGGATTTGGTCCAATATCATTTGTGTTTGATTGTATAAATATAATGCCTTGTTTCATGATCTAGAGGGAGATTTTTAAAGACACCACAGGGAATTAGTCGTCAAATTCTCATTGAAAGTTTAAAAAAAAAATTAAATGCATTTTAAATTTTTAAATACAGACATGGTTATTGCCATATAAGGTGAGTAAATGTTATTTAGAATTGTCATATCAGATATATCATATTAGCTAATCTAGTCCAGAAACTTCTTTTCTATGGGTCAATACTGGATGATTCATTGGAAGGAAAACAAACAAACAAAAACAAAACCCCAGCACCTACATAATACCCTGAGCCTGCAAAGATTTATGTTACTTATTATGCTTTACTTTTATGCACTGAGAGTAGTCACATTGGCTTCAATATGACTATTCAGTGTTTGAATTTAAGCTCATGCATAAATCTTATTAGGGCTTAATTGTACAATGCTGTATACAAGTGAGGAAATTCTTTCTGATGCTGACAGATGATCAGATTATATCTAGGACCTTGAGGTCTGAGAATCCGTATCATTATTTTGGCCAGCATGGCTATTAGTGTTGGTAAAGATCATTATATTAGCTAATCCTATGTAAATCATGGTACGGTATTTGTCTTGATGACCTACTGAATTCCACAAGTTGACCTATACACTGTGTAAAGAGGTATGTTTAATTTTATTGGCTCTAAATTTATTTCTCTTTAATTTCAAGTGTCTCCTTATTCTAATGTTATGGGAGAAGATAAAAATAATCATATAGTCCCCATTATAGAATGTGTTACTGCTTTGTGTGGAGCTAAAACTATGCCCAATGTATGATTTATTAGGACTCAATTCTGATCTCAGCTAGATAGGCAAGTATTGTTGTGTTTCTTGTCAGACCTGCTCAGTGGCTGATTTTACATTATTCAGTACATAACAATACATGCTAGGATAGCTGAGGTCAAAATCAGGTCAAGCCACTCAACAATATGTTACAGTATATATCTGATTTCAGAAGTGGGTCAAGATACATAGCAATATGTGCCCATGTATCTGAGGTCAAAATTGGATTTTCACTTGCTAATACATCAAATCAAGATATTTTTTTTAAAAAATCCTACGAAAACACATTTTACACAGTGATAACCATTAAATATTTAGTATACACCAGCAGTTACCTCATATTGGTATCTGAGAGACCATAGTTATTTTCCTGTGTTTAGAACGGGAAGTAATTGTGACATCTGAAAAACTGACGGTATTATTAAATATTCACATGTCCAAAGCTGCAATCACAGCATTATCTGGGAGCTCAACTGTGGTAACTGTAAAAAGTCAAATTCTGTTCTGTAGAGGTTTATTTACCATGCCATGCTCATCACTGTAGTATCTGAGCACTTTCCAGTAGTGCATTAAGCAATGTGACTAAGATCTTGTCACGTGTTCTGTTCCCTTATCCTTTCCTGAGAGGAAGATGAATGTACAGTGGAGTGTTTTCTTTTGGTAGGGTGGGTTTTTTTATATATATAAATATGCCTGTTGCTATCTATATAATAAGATTCCAGGATTGTCACTGTCATTTTGAAGCTATAGTGTCTGTTGAATCCGTGTGAAGCGATGGAAGCAGCTACAATCGTGGTTGAGGGCTCTTTCTGTGTAGCAGTTTCAGGATTCACAGTCTGTTACCGTCCATTTTTTAAGTTCTCACTCATTTGCAGCTCTTTTTATATACAAGACTTTATGAATTACACCCATGCAAAAGCATGGGCTTTTAGCTATTAGTGTGTTTATTTTAGAGAAGGCAGGTCAAAGAAATGCGTTTTCAACTTGGAGTGGTAAGTGGTAATGTTTGTGATGGTCTTA